AATAAATGAATGACAGAGTGGATAATTTTTATATTTAATGGTGCAGAAAAGGATTTTTGCTTTGTGCCAAAGCAATTCAAGTCTGTTTTTTCTTTTATTGTTCTTCTAAAAATACAAATAGTCCAAAATGTTATTAATGCACACAACACTTGGTAGTAAAGAACAACTTTATTTTGATTTCCATGTGTTTGACATAAGTGGAAAACAGTCTTTCTGAACACAACTCACAATTTGAAATTAAATGGTCTGTGAGTGCTCTTTAGATGGGTTAAATGATCCTCAGCCTGAAAATTACTGCTATAACTAAACTGGGGGCAGTATTTAATAAAACCAACAGCAAAACAAAAACAGCTCAGAAAGTAAAGTTCAAAGTTAAAGATTTTCCTTTCAAAAACAGCAGGTTGGACAGAATTAAACAAAAGCCATGTATTATTCAGTAACTTCAATCTGTATTACTATATATATTCTTCAATCTGTTAATTTGTTTCTGCAAAAGTTAACAAGACGGTCAATTAGATTAAATTAAGAAACCATTACATAATCTCATTTGGAACTAGTGTCTCAGTGTCTACAAACAAACTGTAGAATTTGTGGGTGTTTTTCCAAATATGCCAGATTAATACCACTAAAATTATGTTTAACTACTTTTAGGCAAGTTGCTGCATATTGTAACAAAGTTTGCATATTCAAGGAATGGAATTGATTTGTCAAGTAGTCTTTGAACAGAACGGTCTTTAAGTTTTAAGATATGACAATATTACAGTAAGACTTTCCTCCATTTACACTGCTCATACTTGACCAAAATCTTTTTTTTGTTTTAAATGAGGGTTCACACAGTTTAAAGTAAACACCTTACAATTAAGCTTGTCATTCTCTTCACCTATGTTCTGAATTTTACATTCATTCTTCAGTTCAATAAAATTTTGGAAAATCCAAATGATCAGTTTACCATATTACTTTTTTCTCTTGAGGAAGTTTTTTAGAAAAGATTTGACTGAAAACAAAAAAGCTTCACTTACCTGCCACCTGACATGATCCCATCCTCTTCCTCAGACATTTTGTTTTGGATCTCCTCACTTTTCAGTAGCTTTATATTTTATCTTAATTTGTTACTTCATACTCGACATCTTGCTTCAATCTTTTTTCTTTCTCTTCTTGCAAAAACACAGTCATAGACGCCGAAAAAGTAGCAATCTCTATGAAAAGGGAAAACATCTGAACTGTATGAAGGTCTTAAGATTTATGATCAAAGTCAGTTCCAACAGTCTGCAAAAAAATTATTAATATTTAACAGCATCAGAGCTGTACAATAAGGAACTTTGGCCTTAATATCTAAATCCAAGAACATTTCCTGTCATAAATCATGCAGTAGGAGAGTCAAGCAGGGAGATTTCTTTTAATGTAAGCCTATAAACCACAGTTAAGCTCAAAACTGCAATAACAAACTTCTTACAGGTCACGTGTTTTATACTATCCCCTTTTAGTTCACATCAAATTCACATCAAAGTGTGGTATTCTGCACTAACCTTGTGTTGTAGCTGTATATTATTTTCTACTTTGCATTGTCTTAATGTTCTTTTTCAGTGTCAAATGAAGGATGATCAATAAACTCTGTTCTATGTATAATATCTTGTTAACACAGTAATAATAACAAAATATGTGAATAGTGGGTCTTTGTTTCCTGTGTCTTCCAGACTTCACAGTTTCAGGAGATAAAATAATAAATAAAATTTTATTTTTTTTCATGTTCCGGTAAGAATGGAACATCAATAATGAAATAAAAACCTTGGACTTGGAAGTCCAAGAATTTTATAAATATTGGAAAAAGAAACAAACAATTCATAAGTAAACACATTCTTTTAAAAGTATTTTACTTTTAGGTATTCATACGTAAAAAACAAATCTAAAACAATGTAAAGAATACCAACTCAGATCCTGACAGCTTTTAATATCTAAACACTGGCTCTGTCCACATTTTCTCCCTCCATCTTGACATGGTTGTTCATTCCTCCATATAACCTTTGTCTGAAATGAGCTTAGCAGATCTAAAAGCTGCTTTTGAAACATTATAAATGAAACTTTGATAAATATTCTGATGTTAAACGCTGCCACAAGACAAAATGTTATCATTCAATTGTTAACTCTGTTTTCTATGACTGTTTTTATGATGTAAAGCACTTTGAACTGCCTTGTTGAAATGTCCTATACAAATAAACTTGATCAATTGATTGATAGTATTCAGCAGGTTGTTTTCCTCTCACCATAAGTACAGTGCTCTTATCTTTATGGAAAGAGAGATTATGTTTCATGATAAGTGTCAATAAAATTATTGTAATGGAAAATACTGGGACAATAAATTCCTACAGATTTGTTAATCATTTCATAAGTAAATCACTACATTGATTTTCTAATGAAATTATGCATTTACTTTATGTAAATAAGTTACCAGTTCAGACACTTTTTATTGCAGTTTAGATTGTGGTGATTTTATTCTTTTGTGCCGAGTTTGCATGCATTTATAGAATGTGTAACATCACCTTGTCCTCTACAATCCTATGTCCTTATTTGTTACTTGAAGAATTATCAGAAAAAACTGTAGCAAGTTTTACATCCAATGAATAAAAAATTAATCTTGATTAAGTATGGAAATGCAAATGTAAGGTAAGTTGTGCCTATCTTGATAGTGATTGTTGTGCTTATGATGTACTGTAATTTGGAAGCTAGTTTTTTCACCAGGTTCCAGTTTTGTCTCAGACTAACTGTGGTTGACAGTAGATTTAGTGTTAATTATATCCATGACTGCCTCATAAGTTTTAGATAAATCAGTGAAATGTTTGTAAGCTTCTAGTTCAGCTGCTAATTAAGACACACCTGTGTGCACGTCTATATGTACAAGCTTGAAATTTCACATGCACAAATTTTGCTGATGGCTTAGCTGGAGGAGCGCAGTTGAGTTTCGAATGGATGGAATGAATGGAGAGGGAGTGACATCGCCTCCCGTGTCTCGAGCCTCTGATGCATTTCCGGCTTCCTGAAATTCTTGGATGTGACAGAATTTCTGTATGATTTTTTTATTGTTTTGTTCAATCATGGTCATGCATGTGATGCTCACACCCTGCCTCTTGCTCTCTGCTGTCTTTGAGTGTGATGAGTAGCAGGAAAGGAGTGGGGTAGGGTTTAGTTGTTAGTCGCAGGGCAATGGTACATGAGGACAAGAACTGAAGCACTGGACTAAGGTCTAAGAGCAAGTTTTCAGAACTCAGAGCTGACAATGTTCCCAATAAACCCGAGTGCTTTTCATTAAAACAGTGCCTGGATGATATTGTTCCAAAATACACACACACACAAGCACCCCCATGCACACACGCCTGCACATACACAGACAGGGCTTCGTAGAAAATAGTTATTTATTAACTATACATAGCACGTTTATATTTTCAAAGATTATAATTACTTCATATCAAAAAAGACAGTAAACAACAAGTTAAACAAAATATATTCACAAATGTCTTGGAAAATATAAATTTTTAAATACATATTTTCTAAGGAAAGGGAAAACAAAGTTAAAAGTCAGTTTTATCAATCAGCAAATTTGTTTTCAACACAGAATAAAAGGGTACAATTCAAAATATTCTGGATTTCATCAAATAGTTTAAATATCAGGCTTGTATTTGTTAAAATTGAAAATGTACATGGTAATTTCAGAAGTAATAAAAACAGTTACATTTTAATGTTACTGGTTTAAAGTAAAAGCACAGAAGCCTGTCTTAACAGTGATATCAAACTCAGAGGAAAAAATATTTCACATAATACAAATATGCAGTCTAAATTTACTTAGCTTTCAGAGAAGCTTTAGAATCGACTTTTATTTTAGTTCTCACATCCCATTAACCACAAACATAAAACACATTTCTTAGATCAAAACATATTATAAAGAAGTTTTAGTTTTGTTCTCTTTGTTCGAGTCATTAGATTTGTTTTTGACAAGCAATGTAATTTTGATAGATTGGAGTAACAAACAATCGGAAACTGTGGCATAGATTACAGTAATGTTAAATCGTATTAATTGAATGGTGCACAATAATTATATGTTCAAGCTACTTGACATATATTGTAGTTCTTTGGCAATCCGCATGTCCATCAATGTCGACATTAATAAATTCAGACTTTCTGGTCAGGTACTTTCATGCCTGTGAACCTAAACAGCCTAAACACTGAATGTAGTATTAAAATATTCATTATTTTAAATAGAACAACAGTACTTTCTTCTGTCCACTAAGTTCTGGGACTCTTTCCACCCACCCTTGCCCCTTTCCTGATTTAATTTTTTTTACATAATTTGTCACACTTCAGTGTTTCAGAACATAAAAACAATTTACTTATTAGTCATAGATAACACAAGTAAACACAAAATGCACAAAAGTAAAAACCTACATGGCCCTAGTGAAAGTGATTGCCTCCCACACCTGTGGTCCATCACACCTGAATTCACTGTCTCTTGTCACACCTGAGACTGTTTAATGCCACACCTACTCCCAAACAAGACATCACTTGAACAGAATCTTTATGCAAAGTGAAGTAAACCAAAAGATAATTAAAAGCTAGATATCATGCCAACATGCAGAGAAACACTGAAGTGTAACAAATATACAAAAAAATTAAATCAGGAAGGGGGCAAACACTTCTTCACACTGCTCTAAGTGCTTCCAGTCTTTCTAACTTGTGCTCTCATAAATCTACAGGTCACACAAAGTCACAGAACCTTTCTCAAACCAGAAGGCTGGAAAAAGCTCTGCTGTGAATTTTGCTTTGAACGTATGAATCAAGCTCCGCTTCTCTGATGATATACTGTAGTAACTTATAGTTCCTCCTTCCCAGTCAAGAAGCACACCTATTTTGTTGCAAGGAGGGACTTTGATTTCTACTTCTGTATTTTTATGCATGGCTTTGTATCCAGTCTTGGAGCAGAGCAGACTCCAGGACTTGTCATTGGTTCCCAGACCACTATCACTACCCTGGCCTCGACCCAGATCTTTATATGCCACAGCAATTCCCACCACACCTTTCCATTCCACTTCCCAGTAACAAAGTCGTTGCAGGCCTTCATCACAAAATACCTGGGTCCTCTTGAACCTTTTGTCACTTGTATTTCGCGTTTCCAGCTTCTTGACATCGTTATGAGTCATCGCTTTTTTGTTGTTTTCAACCAGAACAAGCCGTCTGCTTGCTGTGGTCTCATCAAACATAAGATCTGCTCCATCTGAAAGTGTTCAAGAAGAAAATCAATCAGGCTTTGAGAAAATGTAAACATTGACAGTTTCAGAATGTGTTCTGTTTTTACCATTGTGAATCCATACATTTAAATATTAAATCTGCTAAATTTGGAGAATTACAAGACATTTAGTATTTTGTGATTTCCTGATATATAAAATCATATTTACGTGTTACTATGATCATTATTGTACTGATCATTATTAAGCCGTTCTAACCTTCATTTTCAGATAAACATGTTTCATCTTGTAATAAAAATGTGAAAGTGTTGAGGGAAACAAAAACACAGCTTACATTTACTCCAACCAGGTTTTAGTCGAATTTTTCCTTCACAGTCAAAGCTGTGCAGAGTAAGACAAGAAAGATTCATTTTATTTTATTCTGGAAAATAAATCAGAAAGTCTTTATATATTATTCCACTAGTTCTTGAACTATAACATTTATTTACATATTCAGCTAAGCATAGCAAGAAGTAACAGTGGGATCCATCATAAATACCTGATTGCTGTTTAAAAGCCTCTACTTAGACATGGTGCATCATATATTAGATTAAGCTATTTTTCTACAGTAGTAATAATAATGCTAAGTAATGTCTGATTTATTTACTCACTTCACTGTCTCAAGTTTCTTGTTTGGATCCTCAACTATTGCATTGAGAGCCCTCATCCCTTTGTTTCCAGGGTGATTGTAACTCAGGTCCAAGTGTTTAAGAGATGAGAGTCTATTGGACTTAATAGCTTCAGCCAGAGAAATGCAGCCGTCCTCTGTCACCTGACATCCTGCCAACCTGCACAAAGACATAATTTTGGATTAGAAATAGAGCTCAGCAAAATTTGATGGTGATACAAAAGTCCAGGACTTTATATATTTTCTATATAAAACAAAGAATAAAAGTCCTTTATTCTAATTTTAAAGGTTATGGCCTGCAAATAATAAGAGTATAAAGTGTCTTAAAATATTACAATACTGCAGCTTATATTTTTTGATAACAATAAATCCATTGATTACTTCCTCATAGATTGCTTCCAACATGACATTTTACAGTCTTTTAGAGTAATTTTGTGTAAAACCTGATTATAGTTTAAATAGTAAATGGTCTGAACCTCTCTAGCACATTATCAAGTCTATTGGACCCCATAGTGCTTCATACCACATTTCATCATTCACTCATTCACACACACACACCGATGGTGGCAAATTACTACATTGTAGCCACAGCCTCCCTACAACAGTCTAACAGAGGAGAAGCTGCCATGCACCAGGGTCACTGGGTTCTCTGATCACCAGCAGGCAAGTCAGGTGAAGTGTCTTAACCACAACACAACAGTGTTCAAACTAGAAACCTACCGGTTCCAGGATAAACTCTGACCTCATGACCTCCTGACCCACTGTCACCCCTAAGGGAAGACTTTCAAATTATTTCATTAATACATGGGCTGCTCATCTCTCAACTTTAGTTGTATCCATCTTAGTACTATTTTCATAGGATTGTTGAATTATATTGACACTTAACACTAACAAGAATTGCGAACACAGAATAACTTTAAATCTCAAGACAAACTAGTTTATAAACTCAAACTAGTGGCTAACTATAACACTGGTTGATATATTACTTTAATTGATAACTGAAAAACCTACTTGAGAGTCTCAAGTTTACAGTTCACATGTTTCAACCCATCAGCAAGTCGCATCACTCCAGCATCCATCAAATCATTATGACTCAGGTCCAACACAGTGAGATTTGAGGATGGTTTGGTTAGCACTGATAATGTGAGACCATTGCAAGATTCTTCAGAGAGCTCACACCAACTCAGTCTGTAAAAAGATCCATGAAAACAATCAAGTTAATTTGACAAACCCATGTGTGATTTTCTCCTAAAATAATAAAGGACAACAGTAAAGGAACAAAATATGAGTTTTGTTTTAAACAACAGTAAAAGACAAGTTATCATGTCTTTGTGGTCAAACTAGAATCCCACCCCCAATGGAAAAAGCCATAACTCTCATGTATAACAATTATTTGTTCACAGTGAAGAAAGTAATATGAAGCATTATTCTGAACTAGTGGCATATCATAGACCCTACATGAGAGCTCTACTAAAGGCACATTTTACAGTTTTTATAAAAATACTTACAAAGTGGTGTTTGAGACTTTGACCACTGGCATCATTCCCAGAAGAACTTGCTCTGATTTCAGGTATTTCTTAAGATCAAACACTTCAAGGTTTTCATCTGAGTTCAGCATCACAAAGGTTAAAGCTGACCACTGAGAAGCAGTGAAAGTTTCAAAAGGTTTTTCTTCTGAATTAAGATACTTTTTGATTTCTTGAACAAGGGTGTCGTCATTCAGCTCATTAAGACAGTAGAAAAGATTAAGGTTTTTATCTGGGTCATTGTTGTTCTCTCTGATCTTCTTCTTGATGTACTCTACAGCTTCCTTACTAGCATCTTTGTGTTTTTCATTCTTATTCATCAGATCCTGAAGTAGATCCTGATTAGATTCCAGAGAGAGACCCACTAGGAACCGAAGGAACATGTCCCAGTCCCCATGTTCATCCTCAAAAGCCTTGTCCACTGCTTTCTTATAAAACTCTGAGGCAGTAAGGCCAGAGGTTGCTGAGGTGGATTCTGTGAACACATTTTCCCCTTTGTTAGTAAAAGAGTAGCAGACATGGAGAGCTGCCATGAACTCTTGAATGCTTTGATGGACAAAGCAAAACAGCTTCTGCTTGTATAGATCATGATTTTCTCGTTTGATCTGAGTTAACAACCCAGAGAAAACAGCAGCTTTGGTTACATCAGTCCCACAACTGGTCAAGTCTTCTTCAGTGAAGAGAAGGTTCTTCTCCTCTAGTCCTTTGAAAGCAAGTTTTCCCAAAGATAGGATTGTTTCAGATGTTGACTGATCTGTATTATGTTTTACTTTTGTCTGTCTGCGCTGGAGCAAAAGGAAACGTGTGTACATGTCAGTCAGAGTTTTTGGCAGTTCCTTATCTTGGTGTCTTTTAATAAAGTCCTCCAAAACCTTTGATGTGATCCAACAGAAAACAGGAATGCGACACATCATGTAAAGACATCTTGATTTCTTCACATATGACCAGATTTTTTCAGCCACCTTCTCATCACTGAATCGCTTCATGAAATACTTTTCCTTTTGCTCATCATTAAATCCTCTCACTTCTGTCATTCGATCAACCTTTTCTAGAGGAATGTTGTTGGATGCTGCAGGTCGAGAGGTGATCCAGATTTGAGCTTTAGGGAGCAAATTTCCCAGGATGAGATTTGACAGCAGAACATTTATTGAGGTTGGTTTTGTGACATCACTACATTTATTTGTGTCACTGAACTCAAGAGCAAGACGACATTCATCAAAACCATCCAGAACAATCAGAATATTGTACTTGTCATAGTCAGTTATTTCAGATGTCCTCATTGCTGGGAAGAACTGATGAATCAGATCTTCTAAACTGTGTTCTTTATCTATTCTCAGATTTAGCTCTCGGAAAGGAAGTGGAAAAATAAAATGTATGTTTTCTGTTGCTTTGCTCTCTGCCCAGTCAAGTATGTACTTCATTGAGGCAAATGTTTTTCCTACTCCTGCCACTCCAACGGTAAGGACAGTCTTAATGTTTTGATTACTATTTGCAGGTCTGAAGATGTCACAGTATTTAATAGATGTTTCTTCTTCATTTGTTGTTTTGAACTTTGCATCCTGAACCTGCATGGCTTCATTTTGAGCATTTTCTCCTTCTGTGATGTAGAGGTCAGTGAAAACCTCGTTGAGAAGAGCTGAGGTCTTCTGTCCATCAATCCCTTCAGACACACTGGTAAACTGATCTTTTAATTGACTTTTGAGTTTTCTTTGACTTCTGATATCAGGCCTCTCTGAAAAAATAAAATGTAAATAAACAAAAACATAGATTAAATACTTTTGAAATAATTTTATATTATATATTCTTTTGAAAAAATATAAAACACGTAATAAAAGACTACTAATCGCAAACTTTGACCTGTTCCTGTGTGACAAAGGAATATGTTGTAAAAACTTAACATGCAATTTTCTGTTTATAGTGTTTTAATGTAGTAAAAATCCAAGCACACAGCAGACTAAAACTTAAAACTACAGATGTTTCTGCAGATCACTCAAAATCTACTTAGGATCATAGATTTTTGTCAAGGAAAGTTCTTAACAAAACTTTCAAGAATTGTGTTGAAGTCATGTGTTGAATTAAAAGTACAAGTTGTAATGTATACAGCAGTGCTTATACATTTTATGGTGCAGACTGTCAGTGAACTCAGGGCCTGCCCAAGGCCACTAAGGGGACCCCTCAGGGGAGCTGATTTTATTTTTTATTTATTTATTTTAATTTTGTTTGCTGCTGAGCATAATCATTTTGTGGCTAAAACAAAC